ACTGATGTTTGTTTAGTTTAAGCGTTGTTTTCATTTGTAACGATATGTTTTCGCAGTTAATTTAATTGATAATAAGTTATTCAAAAAACCACTTTTTTATACCAATTTCATCTAATTTTGCCATAAATGGCATAAACATAATAATATTATGATATTTAAAGCGTTTATCACAAACAATCCCATTATACATAGCAGTGTCACTCATACCGATTGTGACATTCCCCACAAAATACACACATTAAACACATTACTACTATTATTATTCTTACAACAACCTGTATTATAATGTAAATTACATTTGCTATTCGTACGAAACACACAATCATTTTCTTGATTGACATTTGTTTGTTGTATTCGTTGCACCGATTCCTTGACTCCAACAATGAATGAATGCATTGATTAGTGTATACTATAATTGTTCCCCACATATGAACACAAAACCTCAATATATCTGTGGCACAAAAACTCATACCAAAACCCATTTCATGTCGATTCACCTGTATTTCCATTTTTTAGTTCAAAATGTATTTCTTATTAATTTAATTTGACTCAAGAATTGATGTTCATTTATCTCTCAAAGCCCTTATTCCCCACCATTTAATTGTATTCTGATTATAATTATTCTCTTATTATAATTCTTATTATAATTCTTATTTATAATTTGTATTTAAATATTAAACATAAGTAATAAATATTTAAATTATTTTGTAATTCGTGTTTGATAATGATTATCTCAATCAAATAATCATATGATTTTCTAATTCCAAATGTGTTATGAAATACAATATCTTTTTATAGCGAAAAAACTGTTCAAAATGTAATCATAAGCTATGATTGATTGCCATTCATGACGAGTACGAGTGGATGTAAACGTATAGAAAGAATATAAAAATAAAATAGAGCTTAAGGTTTACATTATGTGATGCGATAAAAAATACTTTTTGAAGTTTGACTCTAAATATATGCCAAAACTTCGCACACATATTGGATGTGCGAAAAAGACCTGTACAACCAGTTTCTAAAACTGTTTCACAGCACCAGAACATCTAATCTCGATTTATACCACAACAGCAACAAAAAACTTCTCTATTGTGTAAACAATAGTCTGTTTTATACTCTACTTTATTATATTAGCCAAAACGCCAATTATATGTATGCAGTATTTGATTACGGATTTAACTAACTGGCAAATATTATAGTCATGTGTTTTCCAGTAGATTATTGACAAAACTGCTTATGACTCGAAATTGAATAAATATTGAATATTACCTAACATTTGGTTCCCTCGTGTAAAGTGTATTAAGGGATGGGTTTATATTGAATTCCTTTGATTCAATAATTAGTGTCTCGTATTGTAAGAAGGATTTGAAAATTGAAAAAATTCAAACATTAAATTCAAGGTTAAGGATCACAAGGTCTTCGGGAATATATATATATACTGTATAATTGCAGCATATATTATGCAGTATATGTGGCACTACAGCCAACCTAACCATACAATTGGCAGAACATGTGAATTCTGTCCAACTAATGTGTTTAACATTTGCAAACATTATATAAATAGTTACACTAGCGTTGCGTGAGCGAGGTTTGGCGATATAATTATGAAATGGTTTCTAATACTGTATTATTTATTTTATTTTCATTACTACTATTATAGAGAGACAGTGAAACGTCAATTTAGAAATTTATATACACTGTGTGTTTGGGATATAATTAATTCTGGTGTTCAAGAATTTCACTCTTACTTACGACTAGTTACTACTCAAAGACATTTCATATCCCACACAGTGTTTGCCAATAAAATTATGTCACTCTCACTATAACTCCCAGATATGATATGATAAAAACAGTTTTTATGGCATTAAAAGACATTCAGATTAGGATTATTACGGCATTAATGCATAATAAATATAATTTTCGCATTAAACCGTTTTGGAGAATCCTTTACATGACCTGAGCTCAAAGGGATAGTGTATTGTATAATCAACTTAAAAAAATAAGCCTTATTATTGAAATAATATTTTGACAAACAGTGTAATCGTATTCAAAAAACACTTTAACGTGACATGAGATTAGCATTTTGTTTATTTAGTTTAGTTTACTTTGAAAAATCAAGGCTTAATTGTTTTAATAATTAATTAAATGAGAACGCTATTGACATTGTCTCTCATAGTGTTAGTGTTGTTTGCAATTATATGTTTGAGGGTTAGCTCATAATTATTTATAATTACCTGCCATTAGAAAGTGTATATAAAATATTTTGTTGTAAAATAGCGTAGTAATGTGTATATAATGACTTTTTTGCGCCTAAACAATTTATAATTTTCAACATAAAAAACACAGTCAATCATATTTGCTTTTCTAATTTTAATATATTTTTCCATAAATTAGTTTTTTACGCACAAATGAATTTTATATTGAAATTTTTTATATAATTAGAAAATCAAAACATTGTTTTATTTAATTAAATAACACTTTAAACATTCATGACATGAAATACAATACTCATTGATAATTTGCATTTACTGTTATGCAAGTTTGCATTTAATTTGCAATTAATCAGCGAATAAGTTAATGTATACAATACTTATATTTTATAAACATGCTCATTAAATTTTATTTAATTAATTAATTACATGAAATAAAATGGATGAGATGGCTGTACGAGATATGTCTGCGCCTAATCTGTTTGTATTCAAATTTAAATAGATTGACCAATACTTGGTTCAAATGTGGGACAGGGATCACAAGATGTCAATGAACAGGAAATTTGTGAACACAAATAAAAGTTTCATTTTCTTTAGAAAATTGTTGTTCAAAAAGCATATACAATATATTGAGATCTATGTCTTGCAATCAAATGTGTACTCAAAACTCAATACCTAAAAAACACAGTCAATCATATTTGCTTTTCTAATTTTAATATATTTTTCCATAAATTAGTTTTTTACGCACAAATGAATTTTATATTGAAATTTTTTATATAATTAGAAAATCAAAACATTGTTTTACTTAATTAAATAACACTTATAAACATTCATGACATGAAATACAATACTCATTGATAATTTGCATTTACTGTTATGCAAGTTTGCATTTAATTTGCAATTAATCAGCGAATAAGTGAATGTATACAATACTTATATTTTATAAACATGTTCATTAAATTTTATTTAATTAATTAATTACATGAAATAAAATGGATGAGATGGCTGTACGAGATATGTCTGCGCCTAATCTGTTTGTATTGAAATTTAAATAGATTGACCAATACTTGGTTCAAATGTGGGACAGGGATCACAAGATGTGAATGAACAGGAAATTTGTGAACACAAATAAAAGTTTCATTTTCTTTAGAAAATTGTTGTTCAAAAAGCATATACAATATATTGAGATCTATGTCTTGCAATCAAATGTGTACTCAAAACTCAATACCATTCCCGTTGAGCACAACACCAGATAATTAATGATCAGCTCATCTGTCAATTACAAGTCCACTAATGTTGAGGTCATAGCTAGCAATCGATAAGTAATTTTTCAAACAATTCAAGACATAATGGATTAGATTGTGTTGACTACAAGTGGGCGTAATAATTGATAAAAGATCCGTCGGTGATGTTGTAGTACTTCAGATCAAACTCGTCCTCCAGAGTAATGGTGCCGTACGTTAGCAACACCTCTTCACTCTGGATGTTATGAATGAGTTTAATCTCAGCCTTCAACTGACCGATCAATCCGTTTCTATCCATTCTTAAGGCGACTGTTTTTGGCAGGAAATCTGTGTTGAGATACGGGTGTCTCATATTCTCCTTGGAGTTCATGACCCGAATCTTGACAAACACCTGCACCTCATCGCACTGGACAAGCGATAGCCTCTGATCCGGCTTATTATCAACACTGTAATCCATTATAGACTTCAAGTCCTCCAATTCGTTGGAACCGTTAAATAGTTTCAATTTTCCACTCTTTATATTAAATAATTTCATTAAATTCTGTTTAATTTCGCCGATTCTTTGATACGGGTCTACATCTATAGAGCTGTCTTTGAATTGTATGCAAACACTCTTAACCCGATTATTACCAGAATATTCTTTAAATTTATTCTGACAACTTTGCATCTCTTTAGCACAGTTTGACATACAATCCATCAATTTTTGACTCTTATTCTGTTCAACCGATAGCTTGAACTCAAAACTAGTGACCAATTGTTGTATTTTCTTGAACTCCTCGTCAAACTTCTTATTCTCATTCTTGAAGGCGTCCCTCAACTCGTTGATCTGGTGCTGCTGTGCCTCCAGTTGCTCACTCTGACCCCTGACCAGGGTATGCAACTTCTCCATACAGTTGTGCTCATCAAACTCGACCCGATTGGCCAGAATAAGACCGCATCCCTTCTCACAACGCAGGGGTTTGTTTGGGTTGAACGCACACTGAGCTAAATGTTTGGCCAGATTCTCGAGCCGTACCACCACTGGACAGCCATAGCCCGCGAAATCGCATTTAATACTCAACTTTGCCAACAAATTGGACACAATTCTTGGCGTTTTCAAGTCGTCCCGATTGACCTTTTCCCGGTCCAGTGGACAGGTATGCTTGCCTTTGTCGAGCCAGTCGTTCAGACAGTCCGAGCAGAATACGTGCTCACACGTGACCACTTGTATGGGGTTTTGTAGGACTCCCTCACATATGGAGCAAATGAGCTCATCGTCGACCGAACTCTCAAAGCGGGTTATTTCGTAACCCATTTCCACACAGTTTTTCGGTTAAGTTTGTGATATCGATTGTAGATATGGTCCACAAAAACCCTATGAATCTTATCAGTCCATAATCAATTAATAGCTGTTTTTCATTATATTTTAAAGTTTAAAATTAACGACTTACTATTATTATCAATGTGAGACTGTTGTTGATTTAATTTTCTCAAAAAAATGTGTTTTTGTTTTTCGGAATAAAATTTAGATAAATTTTACAGACATCTAGGGTTCACAAAAGGGTATTTAAAAAATTATTTTATTTAAACAACAAAAGTTTAATGTAAAACATTAATGTAAAAAATTAAATGTAAAACATTAATGTAAAAAATTAAATGTAAAACCACAGATTATAAATTAAAAACACACATTTAATGTGTGCTCAATGGCGAGACAATTGAAAACTTTTAGTAAACCATATTTAATGCAATATTTATCTAATTCTTGGGAGTCGTCTGCAATTGCATTGTTTTCTATGACAATAATCAGTATATGAGTTACCCTTTGATTAGAAAATGCATTATAATTGCATAAGTCATAGGAAATCGGACTCTTGAGTATGAAGAGTAGTACTTCCGAGTCGGAAGTCCGGTATTATTTAATCTCAAACCATAAAACCGTTTGATTACTAGTAAAGCCATAAGTGGTGTTAACAAAAAATATAATTCATTGTCAGGGATTATATATCTTTCAAGTATTTTTAAGTGAAATAACAATTTTTTATATGATTGACAACATAGTTTAATAAATTGTGTGTACAATAATATAAATATTTTTCATTTAAGGCATTAAAACCAGTACACAATTGCGATAAATATTGTTTTGACTGAAAATATTATATAAAGGGAATTTTTTGATTTTAATTAGAGTTAATTATAAATTATTATTATCTCTTGAAAATAATATAAACTTGTATAAAAACTAAAATTGAAATCAAATAATAAAACGATAACTATTGCTGTGTGTTTGATAATCCTTTTATGAAAGTTTTTCCTCAATGTATTCAACAAATTGTATATTCAAACAAAAAATAAATGTTCAAAAATGAGTTCAATTTAATGAATGCCTTAATTGAATTGAAATGTATAAAGGGGTTGATTAAGAGGCAGAGAATCATATGAATTACGATAAAATTCATTGACATTTGTATACACGATATTCAGCCTACAATGAGATTCCCAAAGCCTAACCTCATAAATAGCTATTAAACTGTAAGTCAGAGTGAGATTTACATCTGATTTGATTGCGAAATCCCTCGTGAGTTGTAATTTAATTATAAGATAAAAATTCACAAGAATTTCCAAAAATATCAATTTCGATATGAAATTATCAACAAATGCTGGCAAAGATGTGCCACAACCGATGACAATGAGTCCCATTATAGCCAATGTTTGCACTAAATCGCAGCAATAGATAATAAATGCTATTTTTGATAATCAATGGATCAGATGATAGATGTAATGGTTTTGTATGGTTTGCCTCAATCTTAATATCATATCAGTGTATGTGTGCGGCTCTCATATGAATTATTACATAAACATTAGATTTGCTCCCTTTTTAAAGACATTAAATTTTTTTACATTCGTATATAAAAGCCATAAAGGCTTAAGAAGTTATATTTAAGTGCATATGTAATATACAAGTATATCGAGGGTAGGGTATGTTTTCTAAGGTATGCATACATTTTAATACATATCTACCTTATATAAAACAACAAAAATATAAAACTCTACTAATGTTTCACGACTTGAGAAACACAATTACATCTCAACAGTCAGACCTGAACTAAAATAACTAAAAATAAAACCAAAATTTGCGAAAATGTATGCAAAAAATGCCAGAATAGGTAAAGCAATGAATAATGAATGCGAGAAATGGTATAGAATTTGGGTATTTGTGTGGCATTTGTATGGCTGCGAGCGCTGTAGTGAAGCCGACATCCAATGGCTGCGTGTATTAGCGTATGGTTTGCGCCGACAGTACAGTCTGTGTGCACGACAGCACTGGTAGTGAAACATAGTGTCAGACACTGTAGACAATGGCTGAACTGTAAGCACATTATTATTATTATTGTCACAAAAAACACCGATTTATCGCCAAATTCAGTGCACATTTCGACACCATTTGGTCATCAATTGTGTCGATAATTGACCGAAAAATTGCTTTTCAAAGGTATTTGTGTTTTAATATGAATTTTATTGAGAAAATACATATTATGTTATGAATGGTGTTTACAGTGGATAGCAATTCAATGGGTAATTGTCTGTTAGAAATAGGCATTCAATGCATTGCTATTTGTTTTTTGGCTATTAATTAGGCTATAAATCCCAAAATCGATACTATATTTAGCGTTTAAATAATTATTTCCTTATATTTGTAACGATTTGATGACAGAAAACTTCATTAAATGTGCATTTATTTGGCTTTTCAATGAACAAAACGATGAAAATATCGATATTTTTTGAGTAGTTTTTCATATGAAATCTTTAGCTATAAAACTCGGAAACTATTCATACATTGATTACGGAAACTATAATTACTTTTCAAAAGACATTTCACTAGAAATCAAATATTGGTTTCAAATGCTAAGCAAATGACACGAAATGAAAAACCATTTAACCGTTGAGTCAAACAAATTCATTAGTCTAATGAAAGGGAAAAAGTTTTGCATTCATATTGTCTAATAGTTTATTCAATTGATTCCTTGTGATCACCATTTGGATCAATTAGGTGCCAAAGTCCTGCACATAAAATAGTGATTAATTTTTACAGTGGATAGCAATTCAATGGGTAATTGTCTGTTAGAAATAGGCATTCAATGCATTGCTATTTGTTTTTTGGCTATTAATTAGGCTATAAATCCCAAAATCGATACTATATTTAGCGTTTAAATCATTATTTCCTTATATTTGTAACGATTTGATGACAGAAAACTTCATTAAATGTGCATTTATTTGGCTTTTCAATGAACAAAACGACGAAAATATCGATATTTTTTGAGTAGTTTTTCATATGAAATCTTTAGCTATAAAACTCGGAAACTATTCATACATTGATTACGGAAACTATAATTACTTTTCAAAAACATTTCACTAGAAATCAAATATTGGTTTCAAATGCTAAGCAAATGACACGAAATGAAAAACCATTTAACCGTTGAGTCAAACAAATTCATTAGCCATTAGTCTAATGAAAGGGAAAAAGTTTTGCATTCATATTGTCTAATAGTTTATTCAATTGATTCCTTGTGATCACCATTTGGATCAATTAGGTGCCAAAGTCCTGCACATAAAATAGTGATTAATTGCAAAAAATGATAAAATATCTTAAGAAATAACTCACGAGTCTATAGACTGATGACCAAAGTGTGGACTTGAATCACGAATTATCTCAATATTCCTATTCTTGTAAAACAGGTTTTGAATCCCAAGAGATCGGATAAAATGGCAGATAATAGCAATAATCTGCAACTTCTTCGCGTCAATCACTCGATCAAAATGACGGAAGCGTTTGAGTCGATGTTTTTGGACGAAAGTCTGTGCGATATAACCATCGGTTGTGGCGGACACTCAGTGAAGGCCCATCGGGTCATACTGGCCGCCAGTTCCTCGTACTTTCGGCAGATCCTGTCCTCCATCAACGGCCAGACGCAGTACCCGATCGTCATTGTGGACGGCATCCAGATGTCGGACCTGTCGGCGATGTTGGAGTTCATGTACAGGGGAGAGGTGACCATTCCTCACAGCCAACTGTCCTCTCTGATCAAGAGCGCGGAGTTACTCGGAGTGAGCGGTTTGTGTCAATTGGATCCCAACGCACAGAATCTGAATGACTCGCCACAGGACAAGAGCCGCACTTCCAGTCCCACCGACAGCACCGGTGGGCCCCCGAGGAGGGGTCGGAAGCGTAAGAAATTGCATCCGAAGCCGGAGAACGAGAGGAATAACGAGATGATTGGCTCGGACTCCGAGCACGCGTCGAAAAATCTGAAGAATGCCGAGGAATGCGACGAAAGCGAAGATCTGGACACAAGCGATGCGAAGACAGATCCGTCTGAAAAGTTGGCCAAATCTAAGCTCCGGTCGTGGACTCAACAGATCGCTATGAAAGCCAACCACAAGGACGCCGAAGAATCTCCGCAAATGTCGAACGACGACGAGAGGACAGCCAACCAAATGATCGCCGAAGACATGAACCAATCGGAGCCGTCGCAGGCGAATGAGAGCGCCGGCAGTCCGCAGATCAAGAAACACATTATAAAGCATTCCAGAGCCCGAAGAGTTCCACTCAAATACAGCGAATACACGCTTCCGAAAGGCATTAACGAAGTGAAGCAACAGATTGTCGACAAAAACGAGACACAAACGAAAGACACGGACGGAGAGACTGATGACCCGATCGCCAGTGGCGTCACTCTTTCATTGAGACCTCCGTCGCCGAGACTAACTCGAGGCAGAAGTCGAGTCCATTCCGTTGACGATCCCAAAGACTCCAAAGTGATTACTACGCCCTCCAAAGAGGATCCGATGGACATAGGGATGGCCTCGACCTCCACGTCCGCTGATGGAGGACTGACGCCCAACACTCGCAGCCGAAAGCAGACGTTTTCCCCCTCTGATGGCAAACCACCGAAAGAGCCGATTCCCGAAAGCAGTTCCCAGCAGTTGGTCGGCGAGAAAGTGGTGATAAAGTCAGAGGACGAGAGCTCCCAGAACTCGCAGTCCTCTCAAGTGCGCCCCAAAGCATCGCCCGTTAAGCCTCAAAGTGAGTGATTCATTGATTTTCATACTTTTCAAGTGAAGACTAATTGAAAATAAAATTATTTTAATTTATTTTATATAATTTAATTTTATTATCATTTTATGATTTGTTTTATTTATGAGTCGATTCTCGATATTCTTTTCAATGCAGAGAATTAGAAGTTGTGTTTAGTTTGTCGTCAATTGAAACACGATTCACGCAAACAGTCTGTTGTTATCCCACAAAACACTCAGTTATTTATTAAATAATATTTTCAATTAGTGTTCAATTCTTGAAGAAATGTTTGGATAAATAATAAACTCTTTAGGTGTGGCTATTGTACTGTATATCTCTAAAACACGTGTATATATAATATCATTCCTAATAGTCTCGACCCTACCGTCGAGTTCGCTAATTAAGTGGCGCCCAAAAGACCCGCAATTGACGACAACTAAATTCACGTCAAAAGTGCGCTCATCTCACGACTCCTCGCAACAGCAACTTAATTACCAGTACGAGGCCGTCGAGGAGGACGGCCCCCCTGTCTACCGGTGCTCCTACTGTCACCACAGCTTCCGCAGTAAACAGAACATCATTGATCACATCCGCTCCGTACACATCAAGTCCGAGGAGCGATACGTCTGTCCCCTGTGTCACAAACAGTTCAAATGGAAGACCAGTCTAAACAATCACTTGAATCAAATGCATCCTCTGTCCCGACCCACACCTCTCCGGCACTTCGATAAGACCCGCAGATCTCTGCCGTAAACCACTTTTGTTTCTTGTCTTCAATCATGTGTTTGTTTTGATTAAGTATTTCTCTCTTTTTTAAGTTGTCGTTCAATCAGTGATTTCTTAAGATTAATAATTAAATAAATTAATGGTTTTGTTTGTTGCGTTTGAATCGCAGCTAATTTAATTGGAAATTGAGTTTATTTTTCTAGAGCCCACTATAAAGTAATTTAACTTTTTTTGAATAATGTTTTCAAATAATGTATATGTAATTTATGAAACTGATTTTGTTAATTTTGTGAATATTTGCTTTATTTTTGATTGTCACTTGAAATTGTCAATTACACGCTGCACTCACTCACTCATTATGAATACAATTATATTCTGTGTATAAAGGATTTCAAATTAATGGCATATATTCGGCTAAGTTTTGAGTTTTGAGTTTAAATTATTTATTGGCCAAACATTGCATTTGTTGTTAAAATAATGCTAATCATTTAATTTTCTATGATTTGTATGTTATATAAATGTTTTCTCAAAACATAGGGAATGTTTGCATTTATGAATCGCGATAAGTATTGTGTACTCTCTCTCTCTCTCACTGATCATTGAATCGATGAATTGTTTAGACTTGTTTCCTATCATTAAAACTGATCCATAATATGATATTAATTTTCATAATTAACTTATGATATTCTGTAACAAAAGACAAATTTTGATTAATAAATTGGTTTTCATTTTGTATTATATTTATTTGTAAATGATTTAATGCATTACATAAATGATATATTTGCGCTAAAGTTTTAATGACATTTTTGCTACCAATTAAGATAAAAATGAATAACATTTATAATAAAATTTTCTTGGGCATTTAATTAAGCATTATATGTTTGTATTATATTTTGTTACCAGTAATAATTTGATGGACTTTTAGGTTATTGATGTGCAAATCATAACTTTGAAATAGATTTAAAAACTTAAATATTAAATATCAAAGTACTCTAAAAATAACGTTATATTAACTTTTATACTTAAATGGTTTTATAGTCCTGAATGAATATTGATTAACGATTACTACATAGTACTGTATTACACGCAAAATAACGTAAATCGTTTAATACTTAGTAATGCAATTAAACTAATTTTTATATTTGAACGAATTTATCCCAATATAAAAATTAGTTATTATAAATGCATAATAAAAGTTTAGTACTGTATTACACGCAAAATAACGTAAATCGTTTAATACTTAGTAATGCAATTAAACTAATTTTTATATTTGAACGAATTTATCCCAATATAAAAATTAGTTATTATAAATGCATAATAAAAGTTTGTCCTTTAAAACAGAGCAGTAGTTAGACTAGCGTTCAGTGTTTGGACACAAGAATAACAACATATTTTATCAAAATGAAAGTGAATCCCAAATCAAATGCTATTAAATTGCATAAAGTTTTGCCTAAAAGTGTGGTCATTGAGGACTCTGGTACTCATCTTTACTGTATTGGTCTCTCATTATATAAACCCATTAATGCCCGCAATAGACATATCATTAATCATCCGATTTTTATATCTGTTTTATTCATTGTATTTATTGTAAGACAAATAATTCTAATCATAAGTTCTGATAGACATGAATTTTTTCATGTAGTTATTGGTGACCCTACTTATTTTATTGGATTTAATATTCAATTTAGCATTTTGGTAATTAATACATTTTTTATTTCAATATCATTTCAATTATTAAATTACTATAACTATATTCGAGGTATAAAACCTCGGGATTTGAGAGTATTTACAATGCTTTCTGGTTTAATAACACCCATTAGTATTGGGATTCACGACAGATATATCGTCACCAAATTGATAACATTTAGCCGAAAATTTATTTTATTAACACAATTAATTACTCAAATAATGCCATATATTATGGGGTTTTTAATATTTGCAGTAATGTCATTAAAATTACCTATCTATCACATTATATTCATATCATTCCCACATAGTATTTTGTGGACATTTGTAATAAAATGTGGCTTTCACTTTTTAATCTGGCAATTAGTCTATTACTCCATAATTGTCTATTATCTCAACTTAAAATTTCAAATTACCATTCAAACTATAGCTACTAAAACAAAAAATCTAAATATAGTATATAAGTTGCATAAAATAAATGAAATATTTCTGGAAATCAATGAATACAACCGCTATTATTGGTCTATTTTCTTAGGAATTTATTGGATATTTATTGGTTCATTGATTAGTATCTTAATTTTTCTAACATTTTATGCCAAAATATTAATATATTTAAGAATTATTTTATTTATTGCTTGCAATGAACTCATCTTAAGCCTACTTTTAATTATACACTTTTCTTCTCAACTTAACCGACAATTGAGTCAATTGTATAAAATATTATTTCCCATTTCAATGAATTATACAAAATCGTTTGTAATTAAATTGAAAGTAAGAAAGTGTTATAATAGTGTCATTAGTTTAAAACTAATTTTAAAATTATCTTTAAATAAACAGTTGTTGTCATTAATGGAAAGGTTGGGCCAAAAAAGGGATGGATTTTATTGCTGGAGACTATTCCGTATCAATAGATTTCAGGGATACAAAGTAAGTACTGTATATCTAAATGTGAATCATTTTACAAATTTATTACATATCAAATGAATTGTTCACAGAATATTTGTCTCATTGGATTATTATGTATAAAATTACTGAAATACTATAATGAATATCAAAAATAATTATATTTTATGAAAAATTAATTTTTGATTAAAATTTGTGCAATTCTTATACTTAAAAATCTATACCGGTACTAATAAATAATTTAATTGCACACATATTTACAAATAAATTACTTATCAATTAGAAGTGATAATTATTTTATAAATGTTTGCATTGAATTCACTGTAATAAAAGGAGATTTAAATGTTATAATTGAATAATAATTTTCTATCTAAATATGGTTTGACTAACATTGAGATTACTGTTTAAATTGGAAACTTTTAGCATTTGACAAGAAATTCATTACAATCTAATGGTTATGTTTAAAGAAAGTGTCCACAAAGTTTGATTCATCATTGAATAGAGCACTGGTAGTCGAGTGGTGTGCCCGTCCCATAACAAATCCCTTGAACTCAGACTTATTGTTAGAGGCATTAGCCGTAGGAGTCGACGGACAGCCGCTATTCTGCCACTCAATGAGTCTCTTCTGAAGGAAAGCATTTGATTGAGTCTTCGGTGTCTCTGATCTCGGGTTCTCTTTTGCGTTCATATTCTGTACAAACGGTTTGTTTGATTGCGATGTCTTCAGCAGTGAGTCATTACAGGATTGGGTCCCGAAGTGTAGTTTATTAGCCACAGTAATGGTTGTCTTATAGGGATCAGATGGTAGAGTGAATATCGAGGCCTTTGTGACACTCAAACGATTCTTAGCCTTGAATTTAAGTCTCGAGGAATCCATTGGACCCACACTTCCCTTATATCCAAACCCATTCTGCGATGACTTCCGTGTCATTATCTCTGACATTTTAAAGACATTATTCCTCCACTTATTTGTCACTGATTTGGCTTTATTTAAGGTAATCTTCGTTTTGAATGAAACCCTTGCTGACTGGTGTCCAAAGAACCCAAAGTATAGTTCACGATTAAGCTCGTTACTAAACCACTAATGTCTCCTTACTGAACGTAAACAAGGTGTTAAGTTACGGAATAAGTATCCAAACAGCGCATTTGTGTCCAAATTATTCAACACTTTTGTCGCCGTTTTGTTTGACGAGTCCTTCGGCTTCACGAGTGATAAGAAGTTTTGGGATCCAATGGTTTCATTCAATTGTGGCTTCAATTGAACTGTCGATTGACTTGTGGTTTGTCTCGGAAGAGGGGATCCAATGAGCGTTGGTTTCAAATCAAACCTCACTTTCTTTCCAATCATCTCTTTGTTATCAATATCGATGTCTTCATTGAATTGATCCACAATTGGTTTGATGTCTACATCGGCGCCAATCGACTCCATCTGTTGTCCAGTGATAGCAGGGATCAAATTGTCTTCAGCTTTGATGATAGCCATCGGTGACACCTTATTGTCCACTTCCATCACATGATTATCAACTGAATCACCATCACTTTCATCGCAAGACAAACCTTCAAAGTGTTGACACATATAACACACATAGTCTTCAGGAACGCTATCATCTGATTGGATGAGAACGGGTCGATTGGGAAGCAATTGACGGTTCCGGTGGTAAACCACGCGATGATCAGCACTCATTGGAACGACAATCCTATGGTAGGCAAAGAAGTTGATTCCTAAATAGCGAGCCATTGGACCAATTGGTGGTGACTTTGCGGTCATATCCATTGAATCGCACTTAAAGTGAGCGCACAGTCTGTCTCACTGTCTGTCTGTCTGTCTGTGAGTCAGAGTTCACTCAATCACTCACTGCTTACCCGAACAGTGCGGTCACTATAGGGGTCACTGAATCCATGGGTCACTCAATGCTATGCTATTCATGCAGTCATTCACTAATAAATAGCGTTATTAAGGGTTATAATAGACATAAAAGTTGGGAAAAGCTTTTCACAAACATTTTCAATGAATTAGTTTTTTGTTTGTTAATAAAGAGTTGCTGTTTGTGTTTATCTCACATTTTATTTCATAATTACATTGAATTAACTTTTTTAATTAAATGTAAAAAAGCAACTTTAAAAATAAATTAAAACTCTATACAGTATTTGACACAAAGTGTACAAAAGTTGCAATGAAATGAAACCTTATGATTGAGTGAACTGTAAAACTTTGGCTAAAACTTTGAGTGAAACTGTAAAGACTTTGCTGTCGGTTATTGTCTCAACAAAACTTACCACAACTCTCGCTTCAATTCATTTGATATCTGATTAAAACTGATTGCTATCACCGATTGAAATGCCAATCAAACCCTTAAGACAGTTGTGGTCAATGGGCGCTCGTGTGTCACAACTGGCACTCCAGACACGGCTATCACATCACGGCGACACCTACAAGG